CACTTCAGAAAGTCCTGGTATCCTACAAGCTTCTAAACCTACTCCACTCACTCAGCTCTGGATATTGGCAAATATCTACAAAGCACTGCAAGTTTTAAATGTATTTTTTATATTATGATCATCCACACAAAGGGATTAACTGGAGCATTAAGAAAACCTCTGAATTCAGGACAACAGCAGTCATTTGTCACGCACAGTGGAAGCTCCAAACTGCACAGATGCCTATTATTTTTGGAGCACTACATTCCTGAGCCATACCTCCATCAGAAGTATTTCCCTAAAGCCATCCTGCTGTTTTGAAACTTAGAACAATCTTGTTGGCTCAGAGCTGTTGAGTTGTGGCTGGTCCAAAAAAGAAAGCCTCAAGTATTGATAACTGACCCAAAGAGCATCACATTCCCTTTATTGAAAAGGCACTGGCTAACAAATCCCTACTCAAGCTTCTGCATTTTTGTGCATCTCCTAAAACAAAGTCATATTTTTAATGCCCAGGATGACATCTTACACTTCAAGTATCAAATCAATTATTTTTTTCCCCATTTTTTACTAATCAGTACTTCCCCCTCAACCAACTTTCTTAGGTAAGCTTGAAAATGCATGATGAAAGGTTTTAAAAATTCCTATTTTAAGCTTAGTTTCAAAGAAAGAAGCAACAGCTACTCAGAAAGAAAACAAAGCCCAGGTTAAAAAGGGCAAGAAGTCCAAACAGCCTGGAGTGCTCTTTGTGTTCTTTCAGCAGTTGTTTTGCCCCATGGGTTTTTCCTTGACTTTTGGGGTTCCATTTTATCATCTGTTGACCACTAGTTCCACCTGTAAGGAAAAATTTCTCTCCTACTAGCACAAAGTCCTTTGAAAACTACATCTCAAACAAATTAAATTTAAAAAGCCAACATTTACAATGCAGATCATTCCATTTGCTATTTGAAGTTTCTTAACTGCTGAAGTGAACAAAGGTGCTGATTTTCTTTACAGTAAAAAGTTAAATCACAACTTATCAACTTCTATGGTCCACCAACAATGCATGAACCAACAGACTTCAAGACTTTTTAATTACAACTCTGACATGACTACTGAAATTAAACTGGGTCCCAACATCATCCTGCAGACAGGATTTCAAACCCTCTCATGTGAATTTGTATTTGGACAGCAGACTAGGAAACTGGAGTTGCATCCCTCAACATTTAAATTAATCCACGGGCTCCTAGCCAAAAGGCAGCCAGTGAGCAGGGTGAATATACAACATGAACCTTTCTTTTTTAAACTCTAAAAGGTTTGGGGTAATCCAATACAAACTCTGAGATCAGTTAAGACACTGCTTGAAACAGAAATCCCTTTTGAAGAGTAAGAAAAAGAGCAGCTCCATTTTCCTCCTAACCACACCAAAGAGGAACACAGAGGTTGTCAGAGATTTACAGAGCAAACACATTATTCCAACAAGATAGCTGAACACGATATTCCTTCGTTAATATGGAATTATCCTGAACAAAAACAAAAAAACCCTGAGCTTTTTGACAAAATTAAGCCCTGCTGAAACAGCAGACTAAGAACCTGACCACCTATTGATCATTAAGCTAAAAACTCCTTCCATTAACAAATTACCTGGAGGCAAAGACAGATTATCAGCCCTCAAGGCACTCCAACCAAGAAACAGAAACTGTTTTCCTAATAGGAATCCTAGCTATACAACTAAAACCTGCTGCCAGGACAAACCTGGCTGTTCAAGGAGTAAAATCAAAGCTGCCTGGAGAAGGTTCAGGAGGCTCACAGCTCACCTGATCAAACCCACATAACCAGGAGATTTTTGTTTCGAATTTTGCTGAATGTAAACACATCAACCGAGTTTTCAAGCACTTTTAGATTCACTTCCATCTCCAAACGCCAAAAATGTGATGATACGAACCAAAGCTGCTTCAGGACTGTTCAAACACAGTAACACAAGCAATCAGCACCAGATTTGCAACTGATTGTGTAAAATAGAGATGCCTGGGCTCCCACTCCTCACCCAACTGTGAGACAAGCCAGAACTTCAGGATGATTTCATTTTTTTAAGGAGACTATCTGAACAATCTACTGTAATGTAGTAATACACCAGAGTGTGGCCATTCTGTTTGCAATATTTGCAGTTTGCTGCTCAAGCTGGCTATCAGTTCTCAAACAGTGACTCACCAAGTTCAAAGAGGAACAAAGTTTAAGAAGGCTGGGACTTGCCATACAGAAATACATTCTACTAATATTTGTATTCTGGTAAATGTCATCTCTTAAAGGAAATTTGAAAAGAGAGTAAACAGGGGATGCTGGAGCAAAGTACAGTGGAGGTAATAATTATAAAAAACACTCTCAGAGGCATAATCAATGCATAAATAAGAGGGTTCATTTGGTTTAAGTTAACACTACTCCTGACAGACTCAGAAGAAAGGTTTCAAGAATAAGGCACCGTGTTCTTTCAGAGGATACTGCAAGAGCTCAGCCTGAAACTGGAAATGCAAGGATGCCTCCGGTAAAGGCACAGCGAGACAACAACATCCGTAACTCTGAACCTCGGTGTGCGGCTTCAGCCCTCACCTGACACCGCCGGGTGACTACTGCCGCTCCTGGCAGCGGGAATCGCTCTCCCGAAACCTGTCACCTTCCCCGGGGAGCACCGCACGACAACACAGCCCGGGCTGCCCAGAAGGAAGCGCCTCACCTTCCTAGGCTGCCCAGGGAGGCCGTGGGGTTTTTCTCCCAGCAAGCACTCCAAACCCACCCGGACGCGCTCCTGTGTCACCTGCCCCAGGTAACCCTGCCTGGATCATCTCCACAGCTCCCCTCCAACCCTGCCGATTCTGTGACCGCCCAGCGTCCCATCCCCACCTCCCGACCCTCGGCTCCGCGCATCCC